CGATACGTTTCTATCTAAAGAAAAAGAAAAAGAATGAACAGATGATCGGACAATATCTCGAGCACACCGCTGATCATGACGTGTGTAATGCAGCAGTATCTGTACATACGTGTGCACAGAATATGTGCGGTCACTAGCACGTCACGTCATAGCACGCAGTGAAACGTAAGCAGTAAACAAATTGACCAATTAGTTGAAAATGTCAACTTGATAGTTTTACACTTTCGATAATTCTGACCAGCGAAATGTGACCAATTCATTTACTACTTCAATCTTGCATTTTTCTGTATGTCACGGGGACGTCGGATTGAGTCCGTGTTCGTTTCAAACGCTCGTGCCGCGCGTCAACAGTGTGAACTAGATAATATCTCTATTCGAAACTTTAGCATACTTTCTTCAGCGACGAAAGTACGGCATATAGCTACTTTATATATATATATATATATTTCTCTCTCTCTCTCTCTCTCTCGACGGAGCGACGCGCGACTAGCCCCGTCGTTGTTTTTCATACTTATTTATCTAATTTAAGACTAATGACAGAGCTCGGAATATATATCTCGATAAAGCCCTATGGACGGATAGTTCGTACAACAGCATGATGGACGAGTGTGTGTTGGCAATTTCTTTTTCCCTCTCTTGATTTGTTTTTTTCTTTCTCTCTTAGTGAAAAGGCACAATTTGTCGCGCTTTGTACATTATTTTCTGAGAAAACAGACATACTCTCTTTTTCTCTCTTTCGAACGTTGGAAATTTACAATTGACTCATCGTTATACTACGAAGAAGCGTGTGCACGCGGTTTTGAAACTACTCTCGGCGAAGAGTATGTCTGGACATGTCGCAGAAAATATTTGCACCCTCATGCTAATGAACACTGAATGTATGTACAGCATAAATATACACGTTACATACATACATATCCAAACTCCCGCCGCTGTTGTTTCGAAGAAAGAAAAAAAAAAGACGAAAGAAGAAGGAGAAACAATAAAGAAAGACTCAAATTAGTCGCAGGTATGTTCGTCTCACGCTACTGATGACTCTTGCTCAGTAAATGCGAGTTGAACTGGTACAAATTGCAGCACTGCTCCCCGCAAATATTGCACTTCCACGGGTTACTTTCGCTGTGACAACCTTTGTGGAGGAAATACAACGTCTGATCCGGAAACGTGATTCTACAGTGAGTACACTGGAGGCCACTTGTGCGCGGATCCGGCCTCGTTGAGGTGGGCGGCTCACCCCTCGAGTGCGGATTGGAATTCGCACCGCTGTTGTTGCTGCTGCTGTTGTTGTTTGTGGAACTGGTAGAAAGCTTACGGCGCAGATCATCCCGCAGCAGCGACTTCAGCGGCGACACTTTGATCAGGGACGGTAACGGGAGATTGCTGGATGTCGCACCCGTGTCGTCCATACCATTGCTATTCGGTTCTTGCTTAATGGGGATCAAGGAGATCGACGGTGTGATGGCTTCGTCTCCCCCACTTACGTTCCTGAAGAAAATACAGATTCTCGCGTAATTTGCGCGACGTATTTGGAGCGCGACTAATTGTCCGCCTTTCTGAGCCTTTCTGATTTTGAGCGTATGATTGTTTATCAGTTGGAAATATAATTGAGATCTTGTCAAGATAATATGAATATAGAGTTATATAAAGCGTGATAGATGAATATTTCCAAAAATATTAATGACAAGAAGATTTTATAGATGGACAGATAAATTTATTGCTAGTCTAAAGCAAATCCTTTAAAGATGTTTTTTTTAGGGGTGGGGGAAGGATGTGCATATCACATTATAAAGGAATTTATTATTGCAAAATAAGCTACAAAAGTGCAATAATACTACACCAAGTTGAATGACAAAAAGAAATATATAAAGTATATAAAAAATATATAAAAATAAAAGTGACAAAAAAATGCAAGCAATGTAGACAATTTAGTTTAATAAAAAATATAAAAATGAAAATTTTATAGGCGAAATTGAAGTATCTTAAAGGTTATTCTTTTAAATATACTTATCTTTCTCTGTATGAATATATATCAAAAGAATATTTTAAGGGTATATATATTTTAAGTGTCTTTTAAAATTAAATTATGTATCTTTGAATGCATAATTGTAACATATATCGAGATAAATTCAACTCACAATGCACTCATATAGAGAAAAATAAATATACATAAAAGATGTAATCCTTATCTACAATACTAACTTTGCATCAATCTTTTCTGTCGTCAATATTTCTCGAGATATTCATCTGTTACGCTATATGCGTCTCATCTTGTATGTTATATGAGAATAGAGAATGCTCTTTTGATATTAAACAATCTAAAACGACGCTTGATAAATATTTATCGATTACAACGAATGAAAATTCGTTTGTGAATTTCGTTTACAGTTCATTGGATGCTCACCTATGGATGGTACTGCTGTTGATAGGTAATTGATGATGACTACTGCTCGGCGCGTTGCTATTACTATCAGCGCTTTGGGGACTGTTGGGACTATCTCCGTTCAATGGAGCAGGACTTGGGTTTCGCTGATTGGCAGCTTGTTCAGGATAAGGAATGGATATCTCCACGTGAGGCGTGAGGAAATGCATAGGGGGTGTAGCATTGTCGGTCGAGCGATTGCCAGTGCTGTCTCCACTGTCGGACAAGGGTGCCGATGGCATGGCCTCCCCGGGCGTGCAACTATTCATTATGGACGTAGAGCTATTTGGTCCTGGATTATCTAAATCTATCCCATGTCTGTATACACACAAAAGAAAGAACGCATGAGTTGACAGAATTCCTCTTCGTCGTTAATTTATAAAACGCAGATGTGCGAGGCGCAAGAGTCACGACTCACCTATTGAAGAAATGCAACCTAAGGCATTTCATAGTCGCCGCTCGGTAGTTACAGAGAGGACAGGACTTGACCATATCGTGCTGGCCCACGTGCTCGTTTTGAAAGTGAGCGCGCATTGCGATTTGTCTTTGGAAACCTCTGTTGCATATCGGGCAATGGTATGGCAAAGTTTTCGAGTGCGTTGTGAAGTGTTCTGCAAGATGATCTTTCCGAAAGAATCTCTTCTGGCATACCCGACACTCATACGGTTTTACCCCAGTATGCCTCATCTAGAAGACATAATATGGATGTACAATGTGCAATACAAAATATGCAATAAATTTCTATGCTGTATTCTTTTTCTACCAAACTTACCTTGTGCCGTCTCATATTGGCTCCATTTGAAAATTTCATGTTACAGACATCGCACTCGAACATTTTTCTATGAGACCGGATCCCTGAATGACCTTCCTCTCCGTCCCCATCATTTTCCGCCCCCTCTATACCTTCAGTACTCTCCCCAGCTTCACCACTCGCCAGACATTGATCTTGATGAGCAGAGAAAGCTGTCTTGTTTATAGTCTCATAATTGTCACATCTATCACATCTGTGGAGAACCAATACGATGAGCAGTGCAATTGTTGCAATAAAATAACAATCTATAAAAAACAAGTGCTTCTCTCAAAAGTGCAATCCTTTCATATTGAAATACTAGATGCTTTCGATTTGTGTTATAACTTGTGTTGGCACACGACTGTTTCACTGGCTATCTCAAATCGATTGCAGGCAATAAAATGGTTTTGCATTCTAGTATAGGGCGACTTGTGTTCATTGCTAATTGGACTTGAATCTCACCTAAACGCAGGAACAGCTCCATCGCTACTGTCATAATTGGTATTAAGAGCTGCCTCATTGTCAGCGTCCAATGCCTCTTCTTCTCTGTGATTGGAAGAGTCTCCAGCCTCAGCATGTGAAGAGGAATGAGAGTCTACCTCGTTTTCCCCACCACCGCCGTCAACCCCATCTGACATGTTACCAGGCAGAAGGACTATCTTGAGTCCGTCATTTAACCTACGACACACGAGCACAATATATTCAATTTTAATCACAAGAGGTAAGCATACTGTATGTGCATGTGTGCGTGTGGAAGGGGAGGGGGGATTTACACAGTGCATTCACAAACGTCGAAGGCCTCAACACTTGGACACTCGGATCAGCCTATTTAAATACCCCATTTAAATGTCTCCCCCCCGAGACGCCCGCAAACAGGTTGGATTATCCAAGAGCTACGCGTAGGAATCGATCGTGCGTCACGCTACGCGTTCCATATTTCGTCAGGTAGACCGAACGCGAGCTCGCGACAGCAAGGAGGAGAACATACGCCGTACGAATGCCCGACATCGTGTCCTACATAACACGAAATTTGTTCGCAACAACCGTCACCACGTTCACGGTGATCTCCGTCGAAAAGTCGGGAAACCGCGACGGGATTCGCCCAATTGTTCTCCGCATACGCGCGACTTCTTTCCATGCACGACCTCGGACGGACGAAAATTCCGCGAGAGGAGGTTGTTTTTTATCGCTCGCCACGATATGAGTTTCACGCACGTATATACATACGGGGGCCCGTCGTGTCCTGCGGTACCTCGCATCTGCACCGCAATCCGCGCGTCCGATGCCTCTTTACCTGTCAGCTCTCTCTTTGCGGGGCCGTCGATACACACACTCTCTCTCTCTCTCCCTCTCTCTCTCTCTCTTGGCTCAGGCGCTGTCAGCCTTCGAGCGATTCGCGAAAGAGTACAATCGCGAATATAACTCGGGCTGTGTACGAGAGAGTAAGGTGCAACGGTACGAGTATTACCCAATCCTGGGAAGATTACGGCATAGAAACACCTGGTGGTAAAGCGCAATGCCAGAGTGCACTGCACTTTGTCCCAGTTTCGACCGAATCCGTCACTCGTGACGTAGTTTTCGCGGCTTTTCCGCGGAAAGTCTCTCTGCGGCCGCGCGACGGCGGAGGAGGTGAGAAAAAAAAACCACAAGCAGAGGGGGGAGGGCAGGGAAGAGAAGGGTTAAAGGGAAAGGGGGGAGAGGCACTACCAGAGAGAAGAGGAGGAGGAGAAGGGGGAGGAGGACACCTCTCGCGCGCACCACGGACCACTTACTCACATTCCACGGGGGGGG